GGTCGGGCTTGAGAACCAGCAGCTCATGGACCATCCGTTCCAGTTCTACCAGTAGTATTCGGTCCACTAGGCCGAGTACCAGTCCAGGTTGACGGTAGTCGACGAGCGCCTCGACCGGATGTCGGCCCAGATGGGAGTCAATGGGTCTCTCATCGAGCGGGAGCGGGATCGTGGCCGCCGGTTGATGGAGTACTCGGAGAACCTACTCCAGTCTTGTCACCCACCAGAGGAGCACCACTGGACCACCCGGTGGGATCACTCGTCACCGCCACCACCACCACTGCATGATGGGGTCGACGATCTCATGGACCAGATCGACTTCACCGGGCTCGAGTAGGCTGTACTCGTGGTCCTGTTTTGTGTTGTTTTCATTTCTGTCAGAATGCAAACTGTCTTGTGTTTTGGTTTATTTTCTTTTCTTTCTTTTGATTTTGGATGATGTACTATTGGGCTGACCATTGGACCTACGTATTGTGTTTGAGTTCTTTTGTTCCCTTTAGCTGTGCTTTGTCCCTGACTGGTCCCTTCTCCAGTCCGCTTCACTCAGACTGGTCCCTTTCCAGTTTCATGCAGTCCGTGCACACCGGTAACATTGTTCCCCTTATCCTTCCCTCTTCTCCATTGAGGGCAATGTCGATCTTAAGTGTGGGGGGATGTTTCTCTTTTGACTGCATTAGATCTGTTTGTGTGCTTGGAGCCTAGTCCACTGTCCAAATTTTTAAATTTGAGGGCTCCAAGTACGTGTTTCCTTGAAAATTGCCTGCTCAGTATGCTTTGAATTGACAGTCTCTATAGTAATATGCAACCTAGGGAGCTAGTGTAGCACTATGGAGGATGTTGAAGTATAAGATTTTTCCTATCTAGCTCTCTGTTGTGCCAGTTGATTTTGTGAATTAGTGGAGCTAAGACCGTTGAATTCATGTGGTAATGGTGACTCTATTTGGATTGTGTTATGGACTCGTGTATCAAACAGGGTGCTCATGTGGAAAATGAAAAGCAGTTGGTCCTCCATGTAGAAATCATTAAATCTTAAACATGGGGTAAGCCCAACGTGTGCGGCACCGTTCATTGCACAAAATCGGGTTTTGGAGGAGATTTTAGTGATCCTTAGTGGGGTACTCCTACAAGGTGAAGCTAAGCTGTCTCTAGTACAAGTAAAACATCCACCCGTTGAACAGTTTGCCTACTTGAGGATGTGTTTTTAAGGGCACGGATAGAGCTTCCGACCCCCCTTAATTTCATTGACCCTCCACACGAGTTGAGGAAAAGGAGTTAAAAGAAGTACTCTGGCGAGCGCCAGATGTACAGAAATTGTTCTTGCTCGACTAATAAGGGTCGACCGTGCAAAAGACTGCAGTTGGAACCCCCGCTAAGAGAATGAAAAAAATAAAAAAAGAGAAAAAGAAATAAAGTGAAAGTGAAAAGGGGGTTCCAGCGGTGAAATGAAGTGAAAAGAGCTCCCCGGTACAACGAGTCCTTGGTTGTGAATGATATGAGTTCTTTTATCCATGAACTGACTGTCTTACTTCTACTTCTTCTCATGATCCTGGCTTGAGTCTAGTACTCGCATTGAGAGAGATAGGGAACGTCTTAGAAGACCAGTTGACCTCGTAAGCTGCTATATGATCTAGAAAATCCTCTGTCGCAACTGCCCCTCCGAGATCGGGGGACCCGTCGTGATATGCTCGGAGTCGCCATCGACCTTATTTGTGGTGGATCGAACACCTTTGGTCCCGGTTCGACCGGTTCCAACCTTAGGGTCAGAACCGGGATTTGGTCTGCAAAATTTTTAGAGATTTGGGTTCGGGAGTACGGTTACGTGTGGAGAAGTGTATTCACACCCCACAACGCCCAAAAATTGGTACTACTTAAACCGATAAGTTTTTAGAGGTCGGGTGTATTATTATTACTTGGCTTGCTTATGCATTTAACCGTAACATTGGATTATTTTTAATTACTTTGGGTGTATTTTAGAGTCCGATTAGCGTAAATTTTGAATTTAAAGTTACAGATTTTCACATCTATTGACGTAAAAATGTTTTTTAGATTGGTTGGACTCGAACCTTTTGGTTGCCTACGTACCCGACTTAGTCGGGATCAAAGTCCACGTAGTTCGTTTAAAATGATTTGTTTTGTAGAAAGTAACTAAACACGCTCTATTGACTCGTGTTTAAGTTTTGTTATAGACCTTTTGATGAAGGAAAATGTTTTGATTTTTTTATCTTGTAATTGAGTAGCTTATAATTTTTAAAATAATTTTGCTTAATAAATTATCACAGTCTATTGGCCGTGATTTTGTATTAAGACATCTTTTAGGGTAAAAAAAAGAAGAGGTTTATGATATTTAGCACATTCTAATTATTTGAGTTACGGTGTGGTATTGGAACTTGAAGATATACTACGATATTTCAATTAAATTATTGAAAGATTATATTTGAAAGAATTTGGTCGAGAACGATTATCACGATCTATTGACCGAGATTTCGTATTAAGAGAATTTCTAGAAAACAAAACAAGTATGTGTAAGAAATGAAGCCCGAACGAGTGTATTCTTCACAGTGTGAAATATTTAGAAGTAATCGTAACTTGGTCAAACCAAAGATCTTAACACGATTAGCGGGCGTTAATTTAGCGTATTAAGCCTCCGCGAAATATTTCCCCTGTGTAGTCTCGAACCATAGACCACGAGTCCACGACCATATCATCATACTTGACCAAGGTTGTCAAACCGGTTTATACCGTTGTGCCGGTTTGGCAAGTGGAATGGTACGACCGGTGGTATAACCAGTTTGTGCCGGTTCATGCCGGTTTAAAAAAGTGTAAAAACAATTAATATCCAATGTATTTAATCATATATAAAATATATTTGTGGACAATTAAGTTACAATCCAACAAATATTATCAACTTTTAACAATTAAATTCATAAAATGAATGATAAATTAATTTTTATATTAATTAAATTCATTAAAATGATGTTAATTTGCTTAGAATACGTAAATCGATCATACCGGTTTCATGACCGGCACAGGTTGAACCAGGTTCAACCGGGTGGCATGCCACCGGCATGACAACCATGTACTTGACACTAGGGATGGCAATGGGGCGGGTTTGGGGCGGGTTTGCCTAAACCATCCCCATCCCCGCTTTCAAATATCCAAACCCATACCCGCCCCATACCCATGCGGGGGAAGGATTTGCAAACCCATCCCCATACCCGTGGGTTTTGGGTACCCATGGGTAATACCCGCCCCGTACATCATACATTATAATAGCTAAAATTTTACATACAAAAATTTCAATTATAATACTAAACGCACCTACTTTTTCATAAATTCCACAAAGAAACAATCATTCTTAATACTATTCTAAGCATTTTATTCTAAAACATCCAATAATCCATAAGATAGAGTAACAATATAAGCCAAATTATTATTCTCTGACTTTGGTACATCTATTAAGCAATAAATAACTTACTAACATAATGTTGTAAACATGAGGGAAAAAGTCAAAGACTGAAGGAAGATTTGGAGGAAATGAATTATGTTTTGATTTGGGTTGTCACTCAATTGTATTTCTACTATTTATTTTCATGAGTTACCCTTGCTATAGATGATAGATTACAATTTAATTAATGTACATTTTATATGTGAAGAAATGTTTTTGGTGGGGCGGTATGGGTATGGGTATGGGTCGGGGGAGGCTAAACCCATACCCGCCCCATACCCATCAAACTTTTTGCGGGTTTTACCCATACCCGCCCCATACCCAGTCAATGCGGGTTGCGGGTTTTACCCATACCCGCCCCATACCCGGTCAATGCGGGGATTCCCCGCGTTGACTGGGTCGGGGGCGGTCGGATATCCGCGGCCATGGGTTTGATTGCCATCCCTAGTTGACACTTGAATTAGTCTTTCGCGGAGGCAACCTCAGAGTGGCAGCGGGTAATTAATCGAAAATCACGAGGGTAGATTGGTATTTTAGCCCTGAGACAAATATAACTCTCTCTTTCAGGCAAAATCGAAACCCTAATTGATTTCATCCTAAACTAAGCGCCGCTCTACCCTCTTCTCTCCTTCTGGCTTCTTCTCGTCTCTTCCTCTCTTCTCCAGAAACACAAACCAGCAAACAAAAAGGAAAAGAACAATAAAAATATCTAGCTCTTCAATCGCATCCATTCTCTTCAATTCGATCCCTCTTCCCTTCTGCTCTCCTCTCGATCGAGCAAAGTAAAAAAGAAAGAACCAAACCCTTCCATTTCCCCTCTAATTTCTCGGTCTGTTTCCCGTCACGATCTGTCTTGTCATCCTCTCCTTTCCTGGCCAACAACGAGGAGGAAGGAAGAATGGACAGACGACGACGAGAAGTAAAGGCAATCGATGTCGGCGACGACGCTGAGGCGGCGTCGAAGGTAATTGCATGTCACGATTTGAGGTTCAATCGGGTTGTTTACAGTTATGGGTTTGCCTTCTTAATAAATTATGATGTAGTTTTTTGGATCTGGGTTTTAATAGGACTCTGTTTTTTATCGAGGAGAGAAAAAACGGAGACTGCTGAACTTCTAGCGTCGCTGACAGCAGGGGTTACTCCGACTGACGAGAGGATTGGGCAAGTTTCGGTGATTATTTGTATTTACTTGATTCGTTTGTGGGCTTGGTAGATACTGACTTATTTTTGGGTTATTTGGCCGATTAGGTGAGATTCTCCCTCTTTCTCGAGCTTGAAGCTAGTTTTAGGTTTTTTGTTTACTCTACTGCTTGTGATCTGTTGGATTAGGAAAGAAGGTTTATTGTTGTGACTTTTGTTTAAAAGATGTGAATTTGAGAATCTGGAATCTATGGCGTGGGTTGTGGCTCAATTACTTTGCTTCCTGTTTCATTTTTTATTAATTGTTTTAGCTGTATTTCGCATATCTATGTAGATGATAATCTCACACACCAACTACATGCTAGGTAAAAAAAGTAACATAAAGGAAGTTTAAACGAGATGATTGCTGAAACATGTAGTTATATAGGTACTAATAGATTAGTAAATGCAGTAATAATATACATGACCAATACGTTAGTATACTTAACTGAAAGAAAGGTATAACTTGAATGAAAATATATGTAGGCTATGTAGCTTATAGTTAGGAGGAAAATAAGTACAAGTATTGGTCGAGTTATGAGTCTCCAGAATTTGGTGTGAGTGTTCCGATCTATGGTTTCTTCTTAGGTTGCAAAGAGGGGGAAGTTTATATTTGGAGAGGGTTATACCTATTTTGGTAGCTTCGATTTCCTTGTTTGGTGTTTCTAGTATTGTAGGGGTCTGTTTATAACAAGTCTTATTGTTTTCTTGTTGCGCACTTGCGCTTGCGCTCCTCCCACTGCCTCTCTCTGTCCTCCCTCTCCCGCTTCCTGTGCACTTCTCGGGAGCCTACTTCCTCCTCCCGCTTCCAAGCACAGTTAGAGGAGAGAACATATCTTTTGTTCCTGCTCTCCTCCCTCTCCTGCTTCCTGTGCACTTCTCGGGAGCCTACTTCCTCCCCCCGCTTCCTGGGAACATATCTTTTGTTCTTGCTCTCCTCCCGCTTCCAAGCGCAGTTCGAGGAGAGAACATATCTTTTGTTCCTGCTCTCCTCCCTCTCCTGCTTCCTGTGCACTTCTCGGGAGCCTACTTCCTCCCCCCGCTTCCTGGGAACATATCTTTTGTTCTTGCTCTCCTCCCTCTCCCACTTCCTTTGCTCCTCCTTCCACTTCTCCAAAAGCTCGAGAATCTGCTTTGCTTCAGAGTTGGGGAAGTTCTTCAAATAGTAACGAGGAGGAGCTATGTCTACCAGCCTGTTAAACACAACAAAATTGAAATCCAAGCATGATTTAACTAGTTTGCAAAACCACAAGTACATATAACTCAACACATTATAAGGAGGGAGGGAACATACCATTCACCACGAACATCCATCGCTGTACGAATGAAGTTCATGCTAGTCGACACAATTTCATGGTACACCACCCATTCTGGCTTGCCACCCAGAAAATTTGATGGATGTAAGTGCACGTACTGCCAAAAGAACAAAAAACCCATTTTGAATACTTCGGTATGCAGAAACTCGATCTCATGCAGCCAAAGATTGAAAGCAGCTAACATACTTGGTTACCCTTGACAGTCAAGTAGTCTCCAGTGCACTCCAGATGAGCAACTTGCATAAAATACCCTGCTAGTATTGCCTTACTAATGTTGTCATAGTATTCCGGGCCGTATAAATAGGTGCGGCACATCTCAATTCCACACCTTGACATGCACTGCACAAGATGCTGCCTCACATTTTGTGCAGATTTAAGCACACTATAGTTGATGAAATTTGTATCACACCAAGATAAATCCTCTTCTGCAATAACCGACAGAAGAAAAAATAAAAAGAACGAACTGGTGATTGATAAACTGAGCAAGTGTAAGTAGTAGAACTGAGAGTAAACCAGGAAATCCAAGTACTAACTGTTGCGCTTGAACTCATTGTAGACGTTCAACAGAGTCAGGTAATCACCATCAGTGTCAACGAACCTAGCTTTGACTTTATCAAAGCCTTCTCGAAAGCAATTGGGTACTAGAAAAAGAAATTTGGGTTATCACAGGAAGCACACAGTTGGTCAGCAGACACATTGCTTTATAATGAGAATTCTGGAGAAAACTGCAAACTATCTGCATCAAGACTTACTTAGCAATCCTATATGGTGCATGCCAACAATAGGCGACATGGGACCAATACAAGAGTTGTTGACAACACAACCTAATTAGACACATATTGTCTTCACCTGCATGCTTGTGGTAGTACACATGCATGAAGTTGAAGAGCCTGAAGGGTAGCCGACTCAATTAGGATGGAACTTCCGAATTGGTAATTTGGTATTCCACATATAAGCCATATGAGATTGGTATGTTTTAGTAATTTTGCTTTTAGGTAATTCAGTACTATTGAAACAGACAGCATTTTGTCACTTTATTATTTAATTATAATTTAATTTGACAGAAAACTCTAGGAGAACATCAATTTTTGCAGCTTCATTTCTCAAAACGTTTATCTTCACCATAAAATCGTCCGAGAACTTCAGTCAAAATAAGATTTTTCAGTTGTTTTTGGCCAAACATGTAGCTAAAGTTAAGGAAACTAAGGTATTTAAGATATACAGAAGCGAAACACTTTTGGGTAAGCAGTTCGGTAATACCAAAATAGAATAGTACTGAAAATGGGGTATAATTTGATATCCACAAATTCCTATTACGTGGGTAATACCGATTCCAAACCAATTTCCCACCCTGAACTCACAGTGTGCACAAGGCATATCGAATGGAACTTCAAACCCTACCATGTGCTACCACAATTCAAACGGGACTCAACACAACAAAAAAATCTATTTAGTACAAAATGAGAAAACTGGGGACATACCTGATAGCATAGCACAAATAGAGAGGATCTCATTCGAGCAATTAAAGCCTGGACTAACAACCAGCATCTTCGCCATCTGAGGATCAAGCGGAAACTTACTCATCATATTCCCCAACTTCGTCAAGTTCCCCTTATCATCTAATGCTCCCAAATCTGACAACTCTTTCAAAGCCCTCGTCAACGCCTCTTCTGCAGGTAGGTTCATGAAATGACGTAGATCAGGAACTTCCAGCTTCTTCAATATCAGGACAATACTCCCTAAATCCGACCTCAATATCTCGGGATCAGTCTGCGCGTGACGATCCTGATTGTAACTCCTCTCAGTATAAAGCCTAAAGCATTTCCCTGGCACTGTCCTACCAGCAAGAGAGGCTCTCATATCAGCCCTATCCCTGGAAACTGGAGAAACCATAAGGAACTTGACTCCAACCCGTGAGTCATAAAATTTTTGTTCGACAACACCGGGATCAATCACATAAGCAATCCTGTCTATACTAAGAGATGTTTCAGCAGTGATCGTCGAGACAACGATTTTCCTCCCAGGTGGACCATCCTCAACTAAAGGAGGTGGAGCAGGCTCAAATATCTTCTGCTGCATGTCTGGAGGAAGAGTTGAGTGCAAATACACGATTTCCACAGGTCCCACCTTGTTTCCTAATTTACCAATCTCTTCAGAAATTCTGTGGCAAGCCTCTTCTATCTCTTCCTGACGTGTTAAAAACGCTAGTATATCTCCAGGCTCTTCCCGTTGGTGTATTTCGACAACAGATCGAATTGTAGCTCCAAGGAAGTCACTTTCAGGCTTCATTGTGTAGAATATATCCACAGGGTGGTGCACACAATAAATTTTCATTAGAGGTGCCCCATCAAAATAGTCTTGTAACTTAGCTTCTACAGTAGCACTCATGACCACCAATTTAAGATCTGGACGCATTCCCAACACTAGTTTGAGATATCCAAAGAGCACGCTTGTTGCTAAAGTTCTCTCATGAGCTTCATCAATGATTATTACTCTGTACATTTCTAATAGTGGTTTGGCCATGGCTTCTCTTAAGAGCATACCATCCGTTAAATACCTGGAACAAAGATTAAAACAGCGGTTGTGTTAATATACAAAAGTGTATACAAAGATAAAGATGAAGACAAGAAGCAGAAGCCACTTACTTCAAAACTGTCTTATCACTAATATTGTCTTCGAAACAGATGCTATAACCAACTTCTTCACCAACGATGACATTCATCTCTTCAGCAACACGTTGCGAAGCAGACACTGCAGCCACTGGACAAGGCTGAGTGCAAGCAACCATCATCTTGGGCCTCTTAACGGAAGTTTCCACCTCAACAGCTTCCAAAACAAACTGCGGAATCTGCAAATCAGCAATTCTCATTACCCATGGGATTCCACCTCTTGCTTTTCAAGACTTCAGAATTTAGTCAGACCAACCCTATACACAAAATCGCTGAGTTAGAAACTCATCAAGCTCAAAAATTCACTGAGACCCACTTTTTTATTCCCCAACCGAACACAAATCGCAACAAATTAAGAACGTGTAATGAAAACGACACACATACCTGGGTAGTTTTGCCACTTCCAGTCTGGCCCACAAGGATGATAACCTGGTTCTTCTTCAAGACATCCAAAAACTCATTCTTCTGCTTCCTAACTGGAAGAGTTTCCCTCTTCTGGAGTATGTCCGAATGCCTCTGCGAATCCAGCTTTCCATCCAGCGAATACCCCTCAGAAGAGACCGATGACCGGTCCACATCAAACAATCTCGCGTTCCTCTTCCTTTCCGTAGACATTGAAATCCCGCGATCACGCGCCCCCGGAACCCTAATTGGTGCGTCGCCCCAGAACCAAAAACCAGAAACAGGTAAATTGACGCGTTTCAAGCTTCGGGATCTAGCAAGCGAGAAACTACATATTTATAGGACAAGTCCCATAACCCTTTCCCTCTCAAACAAGGAAACTCAATCCTAAACCAACTCCTAATTGATGACTTCCTTATCAAGAAATAATAATAACACAAAATAACCAAAAGAATATCCAAATAAACAACAATAATAATAATAATAACCGAAATTAGTTTAATGACCTAGACGGTCATAAAACGTGCACTCATCATAAAATCCAGAGAAATAAAAGGTGCTGAGGGATATAGCGGCCACGGCGAATACCAGACGAAACCCTAGCGGTTAGGACTCTATCTATCTATCTATATATCTACTACTAGTCGTGCTAGTCGTCCTACGCTACGGCCTGGCCTTTTCTTAGAGAAATACGGCATGGGCTTCTTGAATACCGACCATGGAAAAAACTATTAAGGTGGTTTAAATGCAGGTTTTTAATTTGAGAGATTTGAGAAGGATTTGTATCTAAATTACTCATTTAAAAATCCAGGTTTTTAATATGTAGGATTTGACAGTTGACACAAGACCCTTGTTTGGAAATTGATAATTGATATGTTCAAATGTCAAGATTGCCCTTTTTTAATGATCTTCGTGCAATGTTCTTCCCCATTTTCTTTCGCCTCAAAAATCCATTCCATCAACGTAGAGGACCTGCAACCTCTGCTTTCTCGGTCGTCCATTTGCTCTTTGTCATCTCTGTTCTGGCCAGATTCGTCCATGTGGCTGGGGAAACTTGGACGACGACGGGAATATGAGGACCTGATCGATATAGAGCTTCTAGTTTATCGATGACGGGGAAGGTTGAGCGCAGAGACAAAGCTGTTGTCAGTGGTGTTGCGGGTTGTAGCTTGGGGCTGGTCGAAGAGGTCGAAGTGCGGAACTCAATGCTCCGTGGTCAGAGAGCTGCAGCCGGAGGAGAGAGTCGGATCATATGCGAAAGAATGGCGGTGTGGTGATATGACGATGGAAGAAGTGGGGTAGAGGGGCAGTGGCTGGAAGTAAAAAAATAATAATGAGGGATTTCGAAATAGCTGATCCCCATCAGCTATTTTGAAATCTCACATTACATATGTGGATTTTTAAAATCTCTAATAGCCACAATTCCTGCTCTTTGCAAACGTGTTATTTGGTTAAAATCACTTATTATGTGGGATTGTTTTAAAATCCTCAACCACAATCCTGCCACAGTCTCCCATCCAAACGACCCCATTTAGGCTGTCCAAAATTCCATTTTTGCCCTTTTACCCCATTTTTCCCAATGGTTGAAGAGAATTGATTGGGGTAAAAAGGCAAAGGGGTTTTTAGGGGGTTAAAATTGTACTTTTTTTGGTAGACAAAAGAGGCACTGCATCCTACATGGTGGGACCCGTCATCTACTCAGTGAGTGGCACTCTAATTCGGGCCTAATTGTACATGTTTTACTCTCGTTTTACTTATATATGTTTGTGGCAAATTCGCTCCTAAAAGGTTGGTTTTACGCTAGGTTTCTCGTGTTTTAGCATGTTTCAGGATTTAACAGGTAAAACCATCCTCGGAGTCGAAAGTTGAACGGAAAGGATCGAAAACCGGGAGAAGAGGTGAAAAAGGGCCAGTTCACGGCTAACCAAGGAAGTTCACGGTCTTGCTTGACCGTGAAGATGAGCTACTGATCGTGAAGTGCATGGCGTCCAGAGCATTTCCAGAAGTTACCGACGCATGTTGTGTTCACGGTCAGTAAGACCGTGAACGAAGGTTGCTGGCCGTAAACGGGAGTGAATGAAGCGGCGTATTTTGGTGCACGCCTGAAGTTCATGGACGCGTTTGATGGTTCACGACCGTGAACTCAGGCTGTGAACTGAGCTCGTCTCTGGTTTAAAAGATGAGCTGAAAGGAGGAGAGAGGGGAGAGCCTACTTTCTGTGAAAAAACTTCTTCTGCATTCTAGAGAGAGAAACACGAACCAAGGGAGAAGAAGGCTAGGGTTTTGCTTCAAGGTGGATTTTGGGAAGATTTTCTCCAAGGAAATTTCAGTACAAGGATCAAGAAGAGTTGGAGCATCTCCAAGATGGTTTTTTCCCTTTCTCCTTGTCTTTTCCCTATTTCTAGCATGGAGTAGAGTTCCTTTCACTTGGGTGTTGTGAAACACTAACTCTACCATGTAGTTTCCTTTATGTGAATTTGAATGATTGTCATTGGGAATTGTTTAAATGATTGAGGTATTTTTCATCTTGATTGTGCATGTTTATGCTTAGCATCCTTAGGCTTGTGCCTGTTTAGTGCTTAGCAACCTAAGGAATGTGCATGTCTATGCTTAACAATCGAATTAGCCACTTAACCTAGTTTAGAGAGGGAAACCTCCCCTTCTAAGGGAGTCTCGATTGAGTTGGTATCCCTAGGTCTTTTTAAGCCTGCTAACTAGGTTAATTTAGGGCAAACCTTATTAAGAAATTTGGTAAAGCGCAATTAACCGTCCAACCCTTGGGTTGAGTGAGGGAGTAAGTCAACCTTTGATTGCCTAAACCGAGATGGCCTAGTGACAGCCTATAATGCATGCCTCGGTTTAGCAATCTAGAGCATGGTCTATGATCACATTTGCGTCCCTTAGTGGTTAGTGTTTGCCTCGCCCAAAGTAGTTATGGCAACGGGTCAAGGTTGGGGCGGGTACCCCTAAACCCGCGACCTGCCCTGCCATCTATCACAGCGCCCCACCCTGCCCCGCGACCCGCGACGGGGCAAGGTTTTTTGACCCAAGGTACGCCTCGCACGGGGCGGGTAAAACCCGCCCTGCACCATTTCGTTAATCCACCTATAGGCTATAGCAGATATAAAAATTAACCTGTATAACACACCAATCACCATCCATAAATACTTTTCAAATACTCAATAGCTAATACCATCCATATCTCAACGTGAATTGTGGTTCCAAATGCCAGAATCCAAAAATATTAAGGCAAACCTCCAAAAATATTCATTTTCAAACACAAATCCAAAATCAACTCTTAAACTCAACTACTAATTGCTCAAACTTCAGTTCCTTAAGATAATGCCAATCTTCAAACTTTATGCAGGCAGCAGCTGCATCCCTTCCTCTAGACCAGCAAACAGCCAAACATGAAACATCTCTACTCCTAACTTTTTGGCTTTGTGCCATTACCCTGCAGCAAAATAGAAGCAGTAGTAAGAAAGAAGCAGCCAGGTTGCAGCAAGACAGAAGTAGCAGTTTGAAAAAGGCAGCAAGAAAGAAGCAACAGTATAAAAGAAGCAACAAGATTGCAGCAAGAAAAAACAGAAGGATAACATCAAGAAAGAAGAAGCAATACCTCAGTTTCATTCTCTGATTCTTCATCAGAATCATGCAGAATTGTATCATGTAGGTTCTCCTCTGGTAGCATAACATTGAATACAAGAGTAAGAAATAAAACTACTGCACTAACTTTGTTTACATATATTATAACATTTACAAATATAATAGATAGATTACCTTTTGAATTAGCACGCAACCAACTCTGAGCGCACATCAAAGCTTCTATGGTGTGTGGCTTAAGCCTACTCCGATGAGAAGAAATGACTCGTCCACTAGTGCTGAAGGCAGACTCAGATGCCACCGTAGAGATAGGAATAGCCAGAATGTCTCTTGCAAGCTTATGCAATAGAGGATACTTACCTTTGTTCGACTTCCACCAGCATAAAACATCAAAGTCGGATGATTTGGGTACAATTTCATCATCCAAGTAAATGTCCAGCTCTGACCTCACAGGTTTCCTTTTTTTTCGAGAAGCATACAAGTCAAATTTGCTTGCTAATGACCCCACAACACTGCCACTCTTTTGTTGACAGCTCAATTGACCATTCTCTTGTTCTTTCTCCCTTGCCTTCTCTTCATATTCTTCCACCAAGTTACGACATATACCACGGATCCTATCCATCTCAAATTCAGTGTTGCTACCATAGATGTCAGGAAAATAACAATCCAGAACATCCATTTTGAATCGCGGATCAAGTATGGCTGCCACCCCCATCAAAGCATGCACATCTAACCAATATTTATCATACTTTTCCAGCATTTCAATGGCCATATTCTCAATTTTCTCAATCCCACAAACACGCCACTGATTTATGGCAATCTTGATCTCACAAATCTCAGCAAAACATAAATTAGCAGTAGGATATTTGGTGCCAGAAAAAAGATTAGCTGCCTTGTAGAAAGTCTCTAGCCTAGTACATATCTCCTCTGTCATTCTCCAATCAAGTTCACTAGGCACGCATTTGTACTTCGGTTCACGAATCTTCAAGCGGCTAAAAACTTCCTTATACTTCAAAGCCGTGTTCAACATAAGAAAAGTTGAGTTCCATCGTGTTTCACAATCAAGTAAGAGCTTCTTACCAGTGGGCTTCTTCAGCTGGCGAGCAGTATCCTCAAACAATACCCATCTCCTTTGTGTTAACAACCAGAAATGGATACTATCTCTTATCTTCTGTATGTTGTCCCCAATAACTTTCAAACCTTCCTTCACTATAAGATTCAGAATGTGCGCGCAACAACGCATATGAATCATCCTCCCATGATCTAAAAGAGACTCCAAAGGAAGCTTCTCTATCAATCGAGTTATCATCGCATCATTTGTTGAGCAGTTATCGACGGTAATTGCTGATAACTTATGATCGATGTTCCAATCCAGCAAACATTCCTTTAGAACTTCATACAAAGCTTCACTTGTATGAGGGGCAGGCACATAAATAAACCTGCAAATTAAGTAAAGATAATAAGTCACTGATTTAGAAGCACAATAACTTGTTCCTTCTATATAGAAACAATAATTGTTTTAAATTTGCAGCTGGAAATGTTCTTTCCATTTGGAAGCAACCCATTAATATAAGCTTCTTGAGTTCTTACACCTGTTCACAGGAACAATCTGTTGATATGAACTTCTTAACTAATAAGAATAAACACAAAACATAAAAGAAGCTTTTTCCTACACGACATCATAATCAAAGAGTTTATAAGCAACTTTCCATATAACTAGTAAGGTTAAACACTAAACATCAACAAGTAGTTGCTCACTTGCTCTACAAAAGGAAGATCATCTATTTACAGCATTCTCATACTTTGACAAAGACGGGAGCGGCTACATTACTGCTGACGAGCTCCAACAGGCCTGTGAGCAGTTTGGTTTGGGGGATCTTCATATTATGGACATAATCAATGAAGTTGACCAAGACAATGTAAGCTATTATTTCAAGGCTCAAATATGGTTTGTTTAGCTGGAAAACCATACCGTTGACATCTGTTTGGTCTCTGTTCTAGGATGGGCGCATTGACTACAGCGAATTCGTGGCTATGATGCAAGACTCAACATTCAGACCAGCAGGAAAATAATCCAGGCAGACCAGCAGGAAAATAATCGTGGCTATGATGCAAGACTCAACATTCAGACCAGCAGGAAAATAATCCAGGCTATGATGCAAGACTCAACATTCAGACCAGCAGGAAAATAATCCAGGCAGACCACCGGGTATGGTAAATCACAAACTTAGTCAGTAGCTAATTATGTCTAGTTGAGATTTACTTGTCTTAACACATTATTCATGATACCTGATAATTCGACTTTGCAAGTTCCATTTGTTGTCGACATAATGTGCAGTGATTGCCATGAATCCCTTTTTCTAGGAAGAAGTCCACATGTCTGTAGTTATAGCAATTCGACCTTCATTCTTCTCTAGATGCTGCATTACAGCTTCCTTTTCAATGTCATATATGGCAAAACAATCCTTCCTAATGGTATTTCTTGTCACCATCTTGAAACAAGGGTTCAAACTCAAGCAGAAACTTCGGAACCCTTCATGATCTACAATCCTCAGAGGATACTCATGCTTGATTATTGCTTTGGCAAATTCTTTCCGAGAAGCCTCTTGATTGAAGTTGAAAGGGGTCAGTTGGAATTTTTCCTTGCTCATATTGCCGTGTAAAACTTGTTGCCTTATATCCATAGGACGTTGCGCTTTAGGACATCTAAGATAATGATTCTTTAGATGGTTTGTTCCTTGCTTTGGATCTCTGAGAAGTTTCTTCTGACAATACTTGCACTCAGCTTTTGGCTCGCCATCAACAGTTAATTTATTGTAGTGCTGCCACCATTTGGAGTAAACTTTACCAGCTGTACCACCAGTTCTCTTCACGCAATTGTTGACAGCTTGATTTGTAGCAGGTTCAGCTTCAACTTCAGCAACAACTTGCATAATTTCAGTCTGAGATAATGGCTGGTCCGTGTTTGGAATGACAGCAGCGTCTGTTTGTTGTCTCTGACCCTCGTCCATGTTCTACATAATAAGCACTGCAAGAGTTAAAACATGGAGAAGCAGGGACTACACAAGCAAGCATGGCTATTGTAGGGAGTACAAGTCTACACTCTACAACAAGAAGGGATTATATAATAAGCAGGTACAGAGGTACTAAAAAATTGCAGAGCCTTGTTCTGTATAATATACAGGCAAAGAGTTAAATTAAAACATAGATAAGAAGGGACTACAACACGCAAGGAATGACAATTCCATAATCTATAACCTACAGGCTACGAGCCTACACTAAGAAACATACCTTTTCCGATCTTCTGGGATTGCCGGATTGGGATGTTGTCGCTGGTAACTCGGCAACAAGAAGATTTGTTTGACTGCTGGAGCTTCAGAGTTCAGATCAGAAGACGAAGATAGAAGAAGGAGAAACTGAAAGTGACGGGGAAATATGAAGGAGAAGGACGACAGTAACTTCAACCCTAATTCCATCTTGGTCTTGGAAAGGAAATCCTCGATTTTACAGGGATACGAGGAGTCGTTTGCCTTGATTCCGCCTAAGAACGCGTCCTACTTCAATGATGAACCAATTTCCCAGGGAAAAGGCCAATAAAGGGGTAGAGCAACTACACGCGCGTCCTTCTAGTTCTCCGGCATATCGGTAAGCGATTGCGACGGGGCAGGTCGGGGCGGGACGGGGCGGGGTAAGAGGGATACCCATTTCTGCCCTGTTCTGGTTCCGGGTTGGGTCATAACCTGCCCCGTTCTAGGACGGGTCGGGTTTGGCCCGCCCCAGCACAGGTCGGGTCGGGGATAACCCGTCGGGTCGGGTATGTACTGCCATCGCTAGCCCAAAGCGATCATTCCGGTTCACGTACCATGGTAGGAGTTAGGGGGAAGCGACACCCGAGTGATCTTCGCACAAAGATTTTTCAAAAACCAATCACCTTTGCCTTAGTTTATTTTAATTAGCAAACTTTTAAACTAAAACTTTGATTGCTAGATAATGATTCAAATGGCTGAAGTTGTGGTAGACGGACCGACCCGGGTTGATATTTAAACATACTTGTCCTGTACTGCACCCGGCTAAGGTTTATACTTGGACCTTAGGCGGGAAACTATTGTGGTATTCGGAATGAGTCAAGGTTTTTGGCGCCGTTACCGGGGAGCAATAGTCTGTTATCTTGAAAAAGTTGTTGGTTGTTAATCTAGCTTTTAATTTCCAGTCTTTGCAAGTGTGCTTTGTTTGTGCTAGACTTGGTGTGTTTTCCGATTGTGTGTAGGTGGTGCATGACCCGGAGTAACCCGTTACCTTTGCTACCACTTGACGAGGACATAAACCGAACTCTCCCACTCCTAGCACGGGAGAGAGAGCTAGCAGAGGCAAGAAGAAGGAGTGAAAGAGGGGGACAACAGTTGGATCTCGGTGTTAGTGTTGTAGGAGTGGAAGTAGTCGAAGAAGTGGAAGTTCAACCCGTTGTTGTATTGGAAATGGCGGGGAACCAAATGTAACAACCCGATAATTTAGATTTAGGTTCGACCTTAATACGTGATCGGTTGGATTGACGGTTAAGTAGTAAGAGTTATAACTACGAATTAGGAATAATAATAATAACTATTATTATTATTATTACTATATTCTACTCATACTATAATACGCTGAAGGGAAAAACAGCTTCCCCATTTCAAATTTGCTACCTCCTGAGCGTTTCTCGGAGGGGTATTTTTGGAAACGGGAAAAATACATCGGATCCTATTGTGACGTTGAACGGGCCTGGTGTTTTTTTTTTGTTTCTTCGGTCTGAGCAGCGCTCTCTCCGTTCAGTGTCATCACCGCCGAAAACAGTCAGCGCGCAGTCTCTGTCCAGCTCTTCACCGCCGACGACAGGTATGTTCATTGGGCCTGCTTCTTGGCCCAGTAAAACCCACCGTCTTCATCAGCGACGACCTCCCTCTTCCAATTTGTTGCCGGGTTTCGATTGCGTGGTCCTCTGCAACCGTTGTTGGTTTCGTCGTGGAAACCTTCTCTCCTTCCCAGCCAATCCTCCTTCTTCCAAGCAGTGCGTAGCGCTGGTGTTTTAAAATGTTGCTTCTCCACCATGATTTTCCTTTCATTGTACTCGGAAGCCAGGATCAACCGGAAGTTGTCGTAGACGGTTGTTGGAGGGCATCCCGGTTGTCCATGCCGGTCAAATATGTTGTCGACTCGGGATTGTTTCGGAAGAGGAGCGGGCCGAGCGGCCAATATTCCTTTCAATACCAAATGTCAAGTAATTTGCCCTCACATTCGGCTGTTTCGTGTTATTATGTTCGTGCAAAACCTATAACTAAAAGTGGGTATACCCATGGATTGTTGAGGAGTGGGCTGGTGAAGGCAAGTTTTTAATATGAATTGGGGTGGGCTTGAGTGGTTTGGTGATAAAAGGCTACTAGCTTTTACCCGACCCGTTGGTCGGACAAAGTTTGTTTTATTTCTTTTTTAACGTTATTCATTCATATTTTCAAATGATTTGAGATTCTAAATAATTTATTGATGATAAAATAATATTTGTGCTACTTGTTTATTGTGACATTAGTTCATATATATTTTAGGAGATGCTTCTAAATCATTTACTGAGATGTTAGTATGGATTGATGGGTGCTAGTATCTTTTTTGTGCTGCAGACATCGATTTTGCCGTCGATCGGAGCAGATTATTTTGTCTCCCTCAAATGCTAATAGAGTGAGAAGGTTTGAGATCTCTCAAAAAAGAATATTCAACTCTTATGTATTGCATGAAATGACTCTATATCGGGTTGGGTTTTGATTGATAATGAGATAAGGCGACAAATAAGAAAAAAAAAAAGGGGAAAAGGGTGGAAATTGATGTCTCATGATATTTGGTTGCACATCTTAATTTTTCTTTGGGTAAATACAATATATTAGCCACAACTATTATGAAGCGGGAAATTATAGCCACAACTATGTAAATTCAAATTATTAGTCATAACTATTGTTGCATGTCAAGATATGGCTAGCTGTCCGTTACTATTTTTGAATTTTTAACAGAGAATGCCACATCATCGGCCACAGCAGCAGCCACGTCGGACTGCTTTTAATTTATAACTTTAAAACATAAAAGTTTAGTTAGCATTACTAACGGAATTGTTAACAGAAAGTTAACGTTTGGCTAATAATTTGAATTTCCATAATTGTGGCTATAATTCCCCGTTTCATAATAGTTGTGGCTAATATATTATATTTACCTTTTTTCTTTATTGTCTTCTTTGTGTGTTTTCTTTTCCATTTGAGCTACTGATAGACCGTCATTTACACATGTTTTTACCCTCATTCTTACACCGTTTGAGGTGTTGATTCTCGTGTTTTAGGCCGATTTCACGCTAGGTTGTGCTTGTTTGTGATATTTCAGGTCCTAGTACGTGAATGAAGGCTTAGGAGCGAGTCTGGGGTCGATTGGACGAAGAACGGACGAGTGGCGAGGTTTTTGGGAGCTGCACGGGCAGACCAGGGAGGCTGCACGGCCGTGCAAAGTGCAACTTTGGCCGTGCGCCTTATGCCGAGGACGTGCACTGGCACCCCTGAAGAGCTGCACGGCCGTGCACCTGAGCCATATGGCCGTGCAGTTTTGGCCGAGGCCGAGCACGGGCTGGCCGGGATCCCTGCATGGCCGTGCACCTGGCCGTGCGAGAAGCTTGAGTTCAGACTTAATGAAACGGCGCGTTTAGGGTTGCACGGCCAGAATGATGATGTGCACGGCCGTGCACCCTGGCCGTGCAACTCGGGGAAACCCGGTTTTAAAGCCTAATCCGAGCCAGAAGTGGGAGAATCGTGTTTTCAGAGCAAAAACAGAGCCCTAGAGAGAGAAAGTGCGAAGAACACATCCTAGAAGCTGTCTTAGAGCTGGATTTCATCGAATCGAGCCTGGAGATCATCATAGGAGTGGAAATCATCGTCCCGGAGCAGATTATCCTCCTCGTTATGAGTATGACTAATCCGATTCTTGTTTTCTCTTCTCTCTCTATGGAGTAGAACCCTTCTCTCACTTGGGTATGAAGAACCCTAATTCCTTGTGTTAGGGATTTGATTGTAATGACTTGGGAT